GCATGTACAATAAAGCATTCACATTATAGAGAATATAAGCATATTGTAAACATTATATCAGTATATGTATAGTTCTCCTCTTCTTGTAAAAGTCCACTTAGGCCTGTTCAATTACTTTAGAATCTCAATTGACATGCCGAACTATTTTCTCTGATACTATTGCAATATTAGGCTGGTGTGATTCACTTACGATTGTGGTCTTCTTTCTTCTGAAGATCCTATGTTCCTTTTGTCAAAGTGCACTCAGGCTGATTCAATTACTTTAGAATTTTGCATTCATGGAATAAACTTATTTTTTCTTATTTCTTTTTCCACTGTTAGTTTCACTCTAATATATATCAAACATTAGGCCTATGTCAGTCGTTAGGCCTAGATTCTCTTTGCTTTTATCCATCTAATAGTGTCTGTCTGCTGCTTCCCACTCATCTCACGCTATTTATATCTTTATTACATAGTTGTCTGGCCACTTTCTAGATTCTTGACACCAGTTAGTTATTAACAATCGTCTGCTTTTAACTCTTATTATAACAAAACTTAAAAAAATAATAAAATATTCACTCACAAATATAAATTAATCACTAATATTTAAATTAAACAGTATTTTATATCATGACACCCTCTAACAAGAATAGTATTTAAGTTTCTAAAATGCAATATTCTTTACCAGTGACAAAAAAGGTTATAGGCCGTTAATCATATAACAACATCATAAGTGAACATGTTTTACAATAGAAAGTACAAAAATGTCAGATGATAATCAAAACAATGGTTAACATTGATTGGTACACAGTATTCTAATTCGTTATAATACACAGATATAATAAAATAAAAACTTTGTCATTAAAGAAATACATTAAAATAAGCCTGTTAACATAGATTTACATCTGTAATCTCATTATTCAATATATGTGATGATTTCTGAACCAAAGTTGCTGATCTGTGATAAGTTCAAAGATTTTGCTCTAAAGTTGATTTAAGTGCTGATCAGTAAGTGTCAGATTATTATTAAAAAGCTTTGGAGGAGAATTGTTTAGCATCATGATTATAGGTTTCTGTTATTGCTGTGGCACTGAGATGTTTTCGTTCAACTCGCTAATCATTAAGTATGTATGTGTTATCAGTTTTAGGAGATGGTCAACTCACTTGTTGTTATATATGTTCTTAAAATAAAGTTGAAGCTTCGTAAGGAGATGGTTAACTTACTGGTCACTCACATATACTTTTTTTATGTTTTTTGAGTGAATTTGTTAAGTTACTGATATGATAATAGACAATGTGTCTCACATGATAAAAGCAATCATGTGATGTGTATAAGAACAGATATGATACACATAGTAATAATTATCAAATATTATTTATAATAGTAATAGGCATGTACATGCCACTCATAGTAATATATGTATTATACCTGATAATTATAAAAGTTGGAAATGTGGTACACATAGTAATAACAGTTGGATTTATGTTCTGTAATTGATGATGAATATTGATTACAAACTTGGTATATGATGATTAGAAATACTTTATGTTCTAATATCCCAGGAAGCAACAGAAGATATGAAAACTCACTTCCTTCTTTCGGACCAGGTATATGTAAAGGCTGAAGTACCACCAACGGATAAGGTGTACCTTTGGTTAGGGGTGAGCTCAGCTATCTATAAATGTTTGTTAAATCACCCCATGAATGTTTATGACTTGTATTGTTTTATGCTTGGTAAATCTGTCATTATACTACAGTGTCTGAAAAACTACTTCAGTAACACAAGTTGAACAGAAGTTATATTGAGTTGACTGTGAAATGAGCAGCAACTGCCTACTAGAGAAACACTTGTAGAAAATATATTGGTGACTATACAATCTACTGAATATAAAAGGCTGAAGACTTTTGAAATGTCCTCTAAGTTTGAGCTGCATAAGTAGATTGTATAGTCACCAATATATTTTCTACAAGTGTTTCTCTAGTAGGCAGTTGCTGCTCATTTCACAGTCAACTAAAAATGAATACTCTGCCTCAACTTTCTATCAAAGGATAAGTTATGACTAATCTTAAAAAGAAGTAATTTTGGTTTTAAGTTGATAACCATTACAGAAATTATTAATAACATAATTTTCTAAACTAATTTAACATAACAATAATCTCTATGTTATACCTTTCTATTTTTCTGCTCTGGGTAGGCATTTAGAATGAATCTTGGGCATTACAGATAATCTGATTGGAAGTACATAAATCACTGAAAATCATAAGCAATTTATTAGTCACTCAGCTGTTTTTTTTTGGTTTTTTTTCAAACAAAATAAACATAATAATGATTGTATATTGTACAAATTGATGTTAAATACCTTGTTGCTTAATTACAATAACAATTTATTAACTTACCAGGTTGTTTAATAAGCTGTGTTATCCATATCACACAATAAGCTTGAATTAATAAACCCATAAATTTTTTGTTCGGTGAGGACAAATATAGGTGGTGTAAATTAAGCTTTTTATTGCAAAAGCATTCATCTTCAGACAAATCTAAGACAAGTACGTGTATGTATGATCTGTAACGATAAAAGTAAATTCACTTACATTTTCAACAGTAAATACTACACTATCTGCTTTACATGTATCCTCTGGAGAGATCAACATATCACTGTCTTTCCACACTTATTGGAAACAATCACTTCAGTATTTTTCCACATTTTAACAAAGCTGTGATGGTAAATCAAGCAGTAAGAATAATAAATACTGTATTGGTCTCAATTATCAGAGAGTTGAAGTAAAAAAAGACTTTGCTTATCCATTATTTAGAACCTAAATGTAGTTTAAATCAGTTTGTGGGATTTGCTATTGAAAATAGTCAATTGACTTGTTATCAAATGTGAAAGTATAGCTAAAACAGTTTATTCAGAGCAAAAAAGTGTTGAGGGATGACATTTAAGTTCAATCATTTTGGACAAGGTTTCTCTTATCGATTTCTATAGAAATCAACAAATAAGCATTGTTAAAAATAGCAAGCTGCTCATATAGTTTGATATATTGACCCTCAGTAGACTTGTCTAAAATATCTAAGATAGAAAACAAATAAGAAAATGGTGTGTACTATGAATAGTTTTTGAACAAGAGATGCTAATGTTTGTCTGTCGAGGAACATGACTTTATGTTCTAATTTTTTAAGTTAATGTGGTGTTAGAGTATGCACTTGGTGATGTTGAATGTTTTCTGTTCAGGACTTATTCTCATCCTCTAGAATATGTATTCAGTTTAGGATTTATCTTCGTACACTTTATTTTAGCTTAGTGTTATAATAGAATATGTATTCAGTTTAGGATTTATCTTCATACACTTTATTTCTAGGCTAATGTTATGTTAGAATACACGCTCAGTGATGCCGAAGCTCTTCTGTCGAAGAACTTGCAAAAAGCTTCTCATAACTTGTTGCAGCTTGGGGAAGATCTGGACTTCTTACGAGATCAGCTGACCACTACTGAAGTCAGTATCCTTTCATTTTTGGATTATAGTTGACAAATCCCAGATTAAGTATTGTGTTCTCAGCTTTGCACATTTAGTAGGTCTGATATTTGATACTTACTTCTCTGTAAATTTTGTACTTTCATATAGTAGTGTAAAAGCCAATAATATGATATGATGTGTCATTTAAAGATACATACTGTGATGTGAATGTAAAAATTTGTGCACAAACCATATATATGTTACTTAATGAAATGTAATGAATCTGTGACAAATTTAATATAGTTTCTTCTGTTAGTATAAATTGTTTCCTAATGGCTCCTTTTACTGGTATTTCAAACTCTGATGCCTCTAGCATAACTTGTAGCTTATTTTTTATTGTGAATCGTGTTCAACTGTTTGTTCGGAAGCATGTCCTTACTAATTTTTGTTCACTAACAAGGGATGTAGGAATACTTTTAAAGTTATAAGTAGTGGTATATATTTCATGGTGTTAGAAAGTGGCTCTTCTTGAAGCTGTCAACAGAACTGTAGCTCTGTTATCACTTAAGGCTAGTTTATAGCTGTGTGTAAAAATCCAAGTTTAAGTAGTATATATATATAATCAGTTAATAAATTGAATATCAATTTAGTAATATGAATGTTTGATTTTGGAGTTTGTTTATAAGGTATTTAAACAGTTTCTTTAACCCATCTTTAAGACATGGCTCGAGTGTATAATTGGGATGTTAAAAAAAGACAAGCAGAAAGAGAGAAAAAACAAAGTTCCTCATCCTCGTGAAAGATAACCTGTTTATTGCATTTTTCCTTGTGTGGATGTACATTTAAATTCTTGTTTTGCGTCTTAATTAATGCCTTTCCTATGTAGTTAAGATTGTGTTAGCTGTTTTTATTCATTCACAAAATTACAAAAAGAAACTGCTCATTGCTCTTGCTTGTTATTTGACACTTGAAGTATTTCAGATTGTAACTTAATAAAAAAGTACATTAACATGGTTTGTTTCATATTTTCCATTTCTTTTATATTAAAGTTTTGCTTCATGAAGAAAAGATATTATTTGTTTGTCTTGTCACTAAACAACTAATGCACTTTTAGTTTTTAATACACTAAAGGAACTTGAGAATCATTGGTTTGGCAGAGAAAAAAAAAAGAGTGGAGAACATAATCATAGTTTATTTTTAGAAGTGAACCACTTAGCTAAATGAAGTAATTTAGAAATTTGTCGTTTATTTTTGTAACTCAAAAATATTTTTATATAAGCTAAAAAGGAGATTCTACAGACTTACAGTTATAAAGAATTACAGAAAACTAATTAGGTGGAAAACACCATTTCCAGTAGTGAACACCTTACAGAAAACTAATGAAGTGAAATACACCATTTCCAGTAGTGAACACCTTACGGAAAACTAATGAAGTGGAAATACATCATTTCCAGTAGTGAACACCTTACAGAGAACTAATGAAGTGAAATACACCATTTCCAGTAGTGAACACCTTACAGAGAAGCGGTAAACTTGGAGCTCATTTAGGGTTCGATCCCCGAGTTTGGCAAAATGAAGATCGCCAATTGGGTAACTATGCACATAAACCAAAATGACATTCAGAGAGAAAACATTTAAATTAGTATAGTCTTTTATGAAATCCGTTTTAACAATTTTCTGTAAACTTAAAAAGAACCATATTTTAACTATCAAACGTTTTATGAAGCACGTTCTGTGAAACACCTCTACTTTGAGGAAAACCTATAAAAAATCAGGAAATACATTTACATATATCTAGTTATATAAAAAACACCGAATTAAAACCGACAAGTATAGAATTCATTATTTATACTTTTACCATAAAAAAGAGCAGGTGAAGTTTTTAATTAACTGTTGGATTTGTATTACCATAAATCATGTAGCACCACCAATGTTTATTCAATGTTTTTTGTAAAGATGTATTTCCACCTCATTAGAGAGCCGCTATGGGACTAATTTAGGTGAAAAAAAATCTTGCCATAAAAATTAATTCTAACAATCTATAAGCTCTAGATATGAGAGCATATATTAATCAAATATTTAGCAGTTCCTCAATGGGCGTAATCAGATTTTAATCATTAATTAGTTAATCATAGAAATCTCAACTGAAAAAAATTAAAGTTACGCTGTTAATCCATGTTTTTCCATCTTATACTATATATAAAGTAAGTGTTTTAATTGTATACCTAATAAGTATAAAAAGTTAACAATTCTCCAAGTTCTCGGGTTATTTAATTATCAGTATTAATAGAGTGAAGCATTTTCTAAACGTTCTACAGTTTTTAAGTGAAAAATCTAGGTGACGCTAAACTCGGTTTAGATTCGGTATTCGTAAGAATCCGGTTATTACGTGTAATAACTTGTACACTGTCAAATATTGATATATTACACGCCTATAGAAAATGTATGCGTTAATTTCTTTCATAATCCCATTTATACATTAAATCTACTTGTCGATACAATAAATGTCAACTTTGGTTGTAGATTGCTACAAGTCGCACTTTTGATACCTCATGATAGATCAAATACACAACGTAAACGTGTCGATACAATAAATTACAACTTTGGTATGTAAACTAGTACGTAGATTGCTACAAGTCGCACTTTGATACCTCATAATAGATCAAATACACAACGTAAACGTGTCGATACAATAAATTTCAACTTTGGTATGTAAACTAGTACGTAGATTGCTACAAGTCGCACTTTGATATCTCATGATAGATCAAATACACAACGTAAACGTGTCGATACAATAAATTACAACTTTGGTATGTAAACTAGTACGTAGATTGCTACAAGTCGCACTTTGATACCTCATGATAGATCAAATACACAACGTAAACGTGTCGATACAATAAATGTACATATATATATGCGGATTCAATTTATTAAATTACAAGTTAAGTTGTAAAGTTAGATTTAGCGCCACCTAATAATAATGTAAGGAAATGTGGTTTACTATCACTCTTTCAGGGACCAATGTGTAATTTATGTTTTTATTCATTGATTCTTAATGCAACATAATAATTTTGTGCCAACAAAGTTTCAATTATCATCTTGTGTGTCAAGATCACGATGTATTCTGTAAAGATCCGGGATATAACCACCAACTACTGTATTTTCTAAATTCCTTTCTGAACGATGTGTGCTGTGGTTACTGTATCCAGATGCTATATCACGACAGTTTTTCATATGTGTTGTATTTCCTTCTGTCGAGGAAACCATGATGATGTTAGTTTACGGGTGTGCGTTTCCGCTAATGTTTGATTTCCTTATCGCTCAAAAAGTGGACCAGTTTCAACATTACTTGGGAAATGCAGTAAGCACCTTTGTCTCAAGGAAACATAAGGTATGAGTATTTTTTTAAATAAAACGGGTAACTTGCTGTATTGTTTATTGACAAATATTTTGTAATGTTTCACTTTCCTGATTGTGTGATGAACCTAATATACCAAATAACATAAGCAGGGTTGGAAGCAATTGGTCGATGATGACATAAGAAGTGATATATATATATTCTTTTATATATATATATATAGGGTCAAGAGGACAACGAAACAAGCGTAGCGTAAAGAGTGGCGACCAAGTCGTACTATTCGGTCTAGCAACAGTTGGCGGTCGGTTGAGTTGACTAACTAGCTGCCTTCCCTTTAGTCTGTCACTTCAAAATTATGGTCGGCTAGCGCATATAGCCCTCCAGTAGCTTTGCGTGAAATTGGAAAACAAACAAGAAAACGTAGCAAACTGAGTGAAAACAGAAGTTTTAGTGCGCATGATTAAGAAGACACAGCAAGGTGAGTGAAAACAGAAGTTTATGGATATTTGATCAGGAAACAGTATTATTAATTATAACCGTTTGTGGGTAACATTCAAATCGTTTCAAGAAGTTAAAGGTTATTTTCTGATTGTAAACTCTTTAGGCGGTAAAACTGAGAGAAGAAATGTATATGATGAAGTTAAATTTGTATGGTCGCAAAATTATAACATTTTTTCTGGTGTTGAATAGAAAATATTTTATTCTTTTAAAAATATATGATTTTAATCTAACCATATGTGTGTGAAAAACCATGATTTTAATCTAACCATATGTGTGAAAAACCATGATTTTATTCTAACCATATGTGTGAAAAACCATGATTTTAATCTAACCATATG